TTTTTTTTTTTTTTTTCCTTTTACTCTTTTCGGTAGGGAAAACAAACTATACCCATTCACGGTATTGGCAATGATAGTTTAATTGAGTCTCTTAAATTCTACTTGTCTCATTTAAAATCCGTTCAGACTGGAAAGCAGGAAACTTACCTTAAAGGAGTAGTGGAAGGAGCCCCACTCCTCCCCTTCCACCACTTCAGTGAAAGTCACCGTTTCGGTGCAGAGGGCTGGGGAAGCATCCGGGGTCTGCGTGGTCCCGCTGGAGCCCTTGGAGTCGGGGCTGCCCTCCGTGAGGTTGGCTGGCATGGTTCGGGTGGAGTTGAGCCTGGCTGTCCTGGCTCCTGCAGCCCAGGAAGAGTCCAGCTCCCCTCTGAGAGCTGGCCAGCAGCTGCAGTTCTGCACCTGCTCTGGCTCCTAAGGCTTCTGGCTGGAGCTCGGCTGAGCAGAGGCACGGAGCCCTCCCAGAGCCCACCTCCCTGAAGAGCTCTGCCTGACGCCAGGGAGGATCCTTGTGCTGCTCTCTCCTCAGCAGTTATGATCCAGTAGCCGACACAGCCTCTTCACCCCCAAGTCCCGCCCGCCCATGGCCGGGCCTCGACCTGGGGCAGGTCTGAGACACCCCCACCCCCCACCCCGAGCGATCCACGTGGCTCCTGAGACAGTCCTCCCTGCCGGGCTATGCTTTCCTTAACTTCCAGAATGGACTCCCACTTCTGCTCCAGCTTCAACAGTACGGGAACTTGGACTCAACAGCAGACTGATTAATTCAGATCGTGTTGGATCTTCTGATATCAAATCATAATTATGCATTTGCCTCAGCTGCACTTGCCTTCTGACTTACAATACTCTCCTAACCATTTACTTAGTAGCCTGCACATTATTTCAATGAACGTGGGGGAAATAGCACATTTGTATTTATTCTAGATTTTCGCAGGGCACTTCTCAGAAAAGCCTGGGGTCTGTGTTTGTCAATAAGCTGTGACTCTTGGTGATGTACCTGGAAACGGTGCCTGGTAAATCCTCTGATCACCTTGTTCTTTCATTGGATATCCAAGCAACTCTGTGAGATAGGCAGGGGACGCTTCTGTATGTTCTCATTGTACCCTAGAGGAGATTTACCCAGGGGTGAAATGACTTGCCCAAGATCCCACAACTGGTGACGGAAATGAGATGATAACTCATCTCTTCAGAAATTCCTAGACATTTGGTCCCTTTACCGGAACGTACACTGATTTGCATCAAGTATCAAATGGCTACTGAGGCACGAAGTTAACATAAGCAAGGGTAACAGGCCAGGTGTAAAACAACAAAAGCTGCTTGTATTGAAACCAACCATAACTGAGGCGCCTGGGTGGCTCAGTCGGTTGGGCGTCCGACTTCAGCTCAGGTCATGATCTCGCAGTCTGTGAGTTCGAGCCCCGCGACGGGCTCTGGGCTGATGGCTCAGAGCCTGGAGCCTGCTTCCAATTCTGTGTCTCCCTCTCACTCTGCCCCTCCCCTGTTCATGCTCTGTCTCTCTCTGTCTCAAAAATAAATAAACGTTAGAAAAAAAATTAAAAAAAAAAAAAAAAGAAACCAACCATAACTGCCTGATTACTTTCACGGAAAATGCTCCAAATACAGGTGGCCATTGGTTATGGACACCTAGTATTAAAAGAAGCGGGTTTAGTGATGATCATAAAAAACTGTAGCCCCCATGAAATTGACTGGGAAAACTTTAGCATAATCTCTCCAGACCAAGAAGAATATAGAGAGTTATAGATGAGAAGATATTAAGTCTATACTGATAGGGATAGCAATTGGCACCGGCCTGATCCCCTGAGCTCAGGACTGACCTCCTGAACTCAGGACTGACTTTCTGAACTGTCAACCTTACCTTTTAGAATCTAACTAATGACCTGCTGGAACAGAAAAAGAAACATTTGAGGAAGATGCCTGCAGGAAGACTCAAAAAGTGCCAGAGAGTGTCACAGCCTCATTACAATCTTAAAATCCCCCTTGGAATATTTATTCTAAACCCTAATAAAAGGAGCCAGCTTTCCCTTGTTCAGAGAGACCCGACTTTGGGAATCATTCTCGGTGATCTATAGTCCACCAAGGAGCGGATCCACTTTGGTCCAGTAACAAGGGACAGCAAATAAGAGGGAGCTGTCTAGAAAAGTGGATAAGCCGTGGGTTCCCAAGGGAAAGAGTCAAAACAGAACAACAACTGGGGCACCTGGGTGGCTCGGTAGGTTGGGCATCCTACTTTAGCTCAGGTCAGGATCTCACGGTTTGTGGGTTCGAGCCCCACATCGGGATCTCTGCTGAGCACGCTTCAGATCCTCTGTCAGCCACTCTCTCAGGCCCTGCCCCATTCATGCTCTGTCTCTGTCTCTGACTCAAAATAAATAAATAAACTTGAGAAAAATTCATTAAAAAAAAATACACAGGACAACAACCAACAGCAAAATGAGTAAAGAAAATTCTGACTGGCAAATAAACATGAAAAGATGCCCAGCCGTATTAAAAATTAAGGGAAAGCAACTTAAAACAATAACACAAAATTTTTACCTGTTGGTATAGGGAAAACTAGGGTTTGACTACCCCAAGTATTGACAAGGATGAGAAGAAATGGGTATACCTTCTCACTTCTGTGAGAGGTAGCTGACATGGTCACTTTGAAGAGCAATTGGGCAGTATCCAGTAAAGTTGAAATTACAGAACCTATAATGCATAATTCCATTTCTTACTGCTCGTAATTTTCCATCTCTATCAGGGTTACTTATGTGTATTTAATTTGGGGAATTTCGTTGCACTGCACACATAAAATGTATTCACTTTTTTTTTTTTTAACATTTATTTATTTTTGAGACAGAGAGAGACAGAGCATGAACAGGGGAGGGGCAGAGAGAGAGGGAGACACAGAATCTGAAACAGGCTCCAGGCTCTGAGCTGTCAGCACAGAGCCCAACGCAGGGCTCGAACTTACGGACCGCGAGATCATGACCTAAGCCGAAGTCGGACGCTTAACCGACCAAGCCACCCAGGCGCCCCAATGTATGCACTTTTCTATAGATATGTTTTACTTCAATAAAAATTTGTAAAACAAAATCTGTGAGAAACTTCTGGGAAAGGGAAGAAGCTGTTTAGTCATAATGTGGTGAGGGTGAAGAGAAAGAAAAATACTAGAAGCCAAAATGGACAGGGAATAAGTGGAAAGAGAACTTTCTTGTTGTGTTGTTTTCTCTCCACTCATGATCCAGATGGATCATTTTTTTAATTTTGATCTGTGGTTACCCAAGAGAAATATTCACCTGTGTGTACAAGTAGACGTTCAAAAAGATGCCTTTGCGATATTGTTTAGAAACAAATTAGAAGCAACCTAAAATTCCCAATGACAAAATCAGTGAGATGCTCCAAACTGGAAACTATCCACATGCTCATTGATAGTAAACTGGATAAATAAATTTCCATGTAGTCACACAATGAAATAGTATACATCAATGAGAATGAATAATTTGTAGCAAATACAACACATTATAGATGAAACTCACAAACACACTATTAAACAAAATAATACATTTTTCATTTATATTAAGTATGACGGTAAATACATGTGTGTATATGTGTGTATTCCATTACATGCATGGGTGTGTCTATATGTGTATATATATACATCTATACATACACACATATGTAATGGAATAGTATACACAGTTGAAAGAAATCATTGTAGACAAGATGACAGGCTAATATGGTATGATGACTAGCCTTATGTGTCAACTTCACTGGGAAGTGAGGTGCCCAGATATTTGGCCAAACATTATTCTCAGTATGTCTGTGAAGATGTTCCTGGATGAGATTAACTTTTGTTCCATTTTTTTGTTGTTATTTTCTTCCAAATTTTTATTTAAATTCTAGTTAGTTAACATATAATATAATATTGGTTTCGGGAGTAGAATTTAGTGATTCATCACTTACACATATCACCCAGTGCTCATCATAACAAGTGCCCTCCTTAATACCCATCATCCATTTAGCCCATCCCCCAACCACATCCCTTCAACAAACCTCAGTTTGTTCTCTATCATTAAGAGTCCCTTACTTCATCAAAACAGCATGGTATTGGCACAAAAACAGACACATAAACCAATGGAATAGAATAGAGACTCCAGAACTAGACCCTAAGCAATACTTAAGCCCAACTGTCTTTGACCAAGCAGGAAAGAATATCAATGGAAAAAAAAGACAGTCTCTTTAACAAATGGTGCTGGGAGAACTGGACCCCAGCAACATGCAGAAAGAAGTGAAACTATTTCTTACCATTCACAAAAATAAACTCCATACCGTGAATAAGGACCAGATGTGAGACAGGAAACCATCAAAACCTAGAGGAGAAAACAGGAAAAAGCCTCTCTGACCTCAGCCGCAGCAATTTCCTGTGACACATCTCCAAAGACAGAGAATTAAAAGCAAAATAATTCTGGGACCTCTCATGAAGATAAAAAAAAGAAACTGCATACTAGGGAAACAATCAACAAAATAAAGGCAACCAATGGAATGGAAAGATATTTACCAAAATGAGCATATCAGACAGAGCTAGTATCCAAAATCTATAAAAGAACACCAAACTCCACACCCAAAAAAAAGCTCCGGCAATCCGGTGAAGAAATGGGCAGAAAACACTTGAGTAGACACTTCTCTAAAGAAGACATCCAAGATGGCCAACATAGGCACATGAAAAGATGCTCAATGTATAAAACCTCATCGATACCGTGAAATACACTCAGAATACCTCCGCCAGTCAAGAGTGGCTGAAATGAACAAATTGGAGACTATAGATGCTGGAGGATGTGGAGAAGCCGGGAACCCTCTTTGCACTGTGGTGGGAATACAACTGGGGTGCAGCCCCTCTGGAAAACAGTGTGGAGGTTCCTCAAGAGTGAAAACAGGTCTGCCCTATGACCCAGCAATAGCCTGTGGGAATTTGCCAAGGATACCTGCAGGAGTGCAAGGGCATGGGGGCGCATGCCCCCAGTCAGCCTCATAACTCCAGCCAGCCAGTAGATTATGGAAAAGCTCAAGTATCTATCAGCACAGTGAGATGGTCAAAGGTGCAGCCGGTTTATACTGTGGAGTACTAAATGGCAATGAGAAAGAATGAAATATAGCCTTTTGTAGCAACAAGGATGGAATTGGAGGGTATTATACCGAGTGAGGTAAGTCATACAGAGAAAGACAGATACCATATATTTTCACTCTTATGTGGATCCTGAGAAACTTAACAGAAGACCATGGGGGAGGGGAAGGAAAAAAAAAGTAAG